ATCAGAAAGGCCAGTGTAAGCCGTATAACTTGAATTCGGCTATTGTTTGTTTCTGTGAGTGAAGGGAATTACTCCGAGTTGTGACGCGGGAGTCGGACTGTGATCCGGCCTCTTCAGGCACGCATTTCTCCTTTATTCTCTTTATTCTCTTTTATTTCCCCTTCTACGAACACACACACACATATTCCTGTGTAAACGTACATCTGGAGACCAACTCCACCACCGCGCCATTCCGCGCACAGAGATCTATTCACTCGCGACTATCCAGACGCCTCAGAGACACAGATCGTGTAGGGCCGAACTCGGTCTCTTTTAGACATTAAGGCCACATTTAGGTTTTTGTTAGGTGCGCGCCATCGGAAGGGCGACCACGTGGGACGAAGTAATCTTCCCCCCCTTTTCTCTCTCTCACACACACACACACACACACACACACGAGATTGTCGAGATAGATACAGAAACACACGTTTATTGTGTCGATCCCTCAAATGCAGTTATCAAACACTTGTGGAAAAGCTAATGGGGCTGTCTGCTCCCATTAGCCGGTTAGCTACGTGGCATTGCTCAGCACCAGGTGGCTAGCTCAGCTTTTCTTCTTTTTTTTTACATTACCAAGCCAAAGACGAGTCATTTTCAACAAGCCCTTTTCCCCGCCGACATATTCATGATGTAACAAGTATTGCACATGTAGTTAGAAACGCTCATAATGACAGGTATGTGGTGACGGTGTACAAACCTTCAGTCCGGTGAAGTCAAACAGCAGTCGCCTGCAGTCACGCCGGTTAGCGTGTCAGCTCCTTTACACAAAGTGTTTTCTACTATAACCCTGATTTTAATGATTTATTTAATCATTCACCGAGAAGCTTATCGCATTGTGAGAGCACACAGCAACGTGACAGCCCGCAACGGTTCACTTAAATGCTGTAATATCACCGCAATCCTCAGCACAACACACCCGACATGTGCGTTTGATGCTGGGCAGACTCGGGCGAGACCAACTCGGTTTGGAGGGGTGGCGCGCTGTCAACATGTACTTCGATTTAAGCAATCTTTGTTCAGTGGGTTCACTTTTAGAAACTCAAAGTAGCGTTTTGATTTCGGGTTTATTTTGGGTGTTGTCTTGATTTAAAATCGTCTCTGCATGAAAGCTGTAAGCATATAAACGGCGAATAACCGCAAGCGGAATCCCCGCTCAGGCAATGGGACTTCGTACGTCGCTGCCTTTAAATGAACAGTTCAGATAAATTGACAAGGACAGGATTATGGAATAAATACTCATAAAAAAATATCTTTCCTCTGGTTTATTTGTAATGTATTTGTTCCGCTTTGGTTCACGTTGTATTGTGTATTTATCCAGCTATTGATAAATCTAACTATAAACTAAATTAACATTAATTAAATACTGAACTTTAGTACAGTTTTGAGGTAATTTAGTCTACTAGCACTACCTATACCTATCCATTCTTTTTGTTTTTTTTCCTTCTTCATTTATGCCACTTAATACAGCTATACTTTACACTTATTTGGCTGTTGCTTACTTGAAAAAGTAAGTGTGAAATACTTTTACAAAGCTGGAGACAAATTTAAATTTTGGAAAACATTTTATGAATTAAAAATTACAAAAGGAAAACACTTTCACAAAGGACAAAACAAAGTTTAACGCAGTCTATTGGGCCATATTTACCTTTATTTGATAGGACAGCTGAAGAGAGACAGGAAAAGGCTTACACACTTTCTCCTGCCACACACCATAGTATTTTTTTCCACAGCAAATCCAAGTCAGCTGATGTGAGAACGCAGCAGGATATTCTCTGGAGAATTCACCTCGAGGCAATGGGAGGGGGGAGTGACGTGTATACTGTGACTGCTGCACGGTGCATAAAGTGTATACACCGTACGATCTCCATGCAGGTAATTAAACGACTGCATTAAGTTTTCTGTTTGTCAGTATGTTGTTCTCACTCTTTAGTTGACATTGTGATACAGGAATAGTCTGCATATGTGAAAACAGGTTAAGTGACCGCTTCTGGCATTTGGTACATTCCCTTTCCATCAAGATTCTGGCATTTGTAAATTCCTCTCAGCGCTCGTAAAAGTGTTTGACACCTTTTAAATTTGTTTTCTGAAATGTAAATAATTTGTGTCCTTGGTAAAAGGTGTTTTGCTTTTGTAATTTTGTTTTATAAAATGTTTTCCATAGAGTGAATTTGTCTTTTGGTTTGTACTTCCCAGCCACCGTACAATACAGATTCAGACAAACCATTCAACATCATTCGCATTAATAGAATCAAGAGGAAATCACAAAGCAGTTGGGGTATTTTTGGACTACAAATAAGCATTTGACACAATAAATCATGAAATACTGATCAATAAACTAGAACGATATGGCATCAGGGGGGATCGTATCGTAGGCAACAATTTGTGAAGTTGGGGGAGTTTTAATCATCATGCTTGGACATTGCTTGTGGCATCCCCCAGGGGTCAGTGTTGGGTCCTAATCTGTTTATTTAATACATTAATGACATACTGTATGTAAAGTCTCTAATAAACTGAAGCTGGTCTTATTTGCAGATGATAACAATATTCTTTGTTCAGGTGAGAATCTACAATTATTAGAGGTTATTACTACAGAAATGGCAACAATTAAAAAAGTGGTTTGATAGAAATAAATTGTCATTCAATTTGAATCACATAAAAAATTTTATTTGGTAAATATAAAGCAAACACAAAAATACAGCTACAAATAGATGGTGTCAACATTGAAAGAGTTTATGTATACACATTTGTTGGGGTAACAATAGATCACAGAATCAGCTGAAAAGCTCAAATGAAACAAATACAAGCCAAACTGTCAAGAAGCATTTCAATCCTAAATAAAGCAAAACATCTTCCGGATCACAAATTTCTATTGTTGGTGTAAAACTTTAAACAGTTTAAATGTGGAGCTGAAGCACAAACAAGTTTTAAAAAATGTACAAAATTTGCTGCGTGGTTATGATGGTGATTATAACGGTTGTTAATTTTTTTCTTTTCTGTTAGTTTTTCTAAAAGGAATGAAGGTATATATGTAAATATGTTGACAGGTATGGTGAAGGGTAAATAGGTAATGGAGAAAAAACACTAACTTAAATGTATTACTACAAACTATATCATTAATTAAGGGAGAAGAACATGAATATAGAAGATAAAAGAAATCAATACATGTTCAAATATGTCAATGGTTGATAAATGATAGACAAACAATGATAGACTCTCTACTGCGATGGAGGTGTGTCCATCTTGGACAAGTATAAATTGATTACACCTGTGCATGTTTGAAAAATTGCCTGTTACACGCTGAAGAAGAGCGTCGGCTCGAAACGTTCGTTTGGCAATTAAATACACAAATTTGGAGTGCTGTCCTTATCTTTTTTTTAATGGATGATAGATGAAATTATATTTTGCAGAAACACATTTGTATTTAATTTATATATTTTGTATGTTTATTGGTTTATATATATAAATGTGTATTGCAGATTCGTTATTTATTTATTCGTAAATGAAGATTAAATAAGGAAGCCTGTTCAACTATTAACTACAGATTAACGGAGAGGGGGTGGGATTCTATAAATTCACACTTCTTCCCACTTCTTTACGAACATGAAATTCAAATGTTCTGTTGTCTTATTTACTTTTCTTTTTGTGGATCTGTTTTGTTTGTTTTTTTATCCTGAAACAAAGGGGGGGGGAAAAGAAAATACAAATTTGAAATAAAGACTTCAATCAATCAAAAGAATCCCAGCAGAGAAAATTAAAGAATGAGTACACAGATGACAGTAAGATAATAGAAAACAACAGTTGTTTTTAAGGCTGAGTTGACTTCATCATCTTATGTCACTAACAAATCTTATCATTTACATTTGTTTTATCCATAAGTATCCAAATCAAGCTGTCACAAAAAGAGCTACAGATCATTATACTCAACATGGTTTTCAAACAACCAGTCAGCCCAAAGTCCAGACACAAAGTTCAGACTTTTAGATCACTGATTTAGTCTCCTCTTCATCCTCTTCATCCTGCATGGAGTAATAAGCATTGTATGATTATTCTTCATCAAAATAAACATTAAAATCAAAAGCAGCTCATTTTTTTTATATGATCAAAGTAAGTGTAAAAAAAAAAAAAGAAACATGTTATGTATACTTTGTGTCGTTGAACAAAATGTTCATTAATAAAGCAACATGTCATTTTCTCTGAAGGAGAAGACGGTCCGGCTTTAAAATGTTGATTTACAAAATTTCATAATTAAAATATGAAACAAACATTCATTCATGAACAATAGAGACATGACAATAAAAATCCATTTACCTTTGCTGAAGAAAAAAACATTTAAATGATGTTCATAGCTTCATCTGAAAGAATACATACTGTATATGTTGTAAATACATTTTACTCACCAATCACGTGGGAGGTCGGCCAGAAACGTTCTTCTAAAAATCTTCCCTCTAGCGGCAGACTTTGATCCCTGCAACAAGAGACACACTGATGATGTTTCTTTATTACAAATGAAATATGAAGAGCAAAGCAGACACTGAGCAACACATTAAACACTGTGTTGTTTCTTTATTCCATGAATGACACAAAGGATCAAAGTAGAGAGGAGGTGTTGATGTTTCAGTCAAACATTTGACTTGAAAACTCAACATCACTTCAACATCTTTTAAACAGGAGCATGGCGTTTGCTTTACATCAACCATGGGGGTTGTTTCATCTTGAAGGTCTTTGCACACTGAGTCTGTTTTTTTAAAATGTGTTTTTCAGATCTGTAATCCGATCAAAACGTTACACAGGAACCTCACACTCTGAGTCAGATGTGTTCATTCTTCTCTTCATTCTGAAAATTGTCAGTGTGAGACAGAATGGAGTCATCGAGCCGTGAGGATGACTTTGTGATTCTTTCAGTCCTTAAAAAATAAATAAATAAAAACCTCTGGGTCCACCCACTCCTGAAAACAAGACAAGAGCCAGGAGAGTTTCCCCTGTTGATAAAAGAGCTGCAGAATGATCAGCATCACTTCAGGTGTATTTCAGGATGTCAGAGTTTGATACGCTGCTAGCTATACTGAAACTACACATTAAAGGAACACCACCAATTTACACACAGAAACTGATCCTGAACACGGATTGGAAGGATGCAAAAAAAGTTAGAAAAACAAACCTGTTGTGAAAATAATAAAGACAGATGAAAGTTTTCAGAGTGCAAACATGATCGACTCAACATGAGATTGTATTTGTTTTTTAAACATGCAGCAAAACAGACTCAGTGTGTGTGTGTGTGTGTGTGTGTGTGTGTGTGTGTGGTGTGTGTGTGTGTGTGTGTGTGTGTGTGTGTGTGTGTGTGTGTGTGTGTGTGTGTACAAACATGACTGTCAGGATTCATTGCTGAAAACACTTACTTGTTTCGCTTGCTTTTTTCTATTTTTTTGAAATAAATCTTTTTTCTTTTGACGATCACTGTGGAGAGAAAGATTAGATAGTTAGATATCAAACCACAACAACAGATGAAAAACTTCAAGATTAGTCCAGTCAGACTTGATCTGGTTCACTCTGAATGATTAACCCAGCTTCTCATATGGAAATCAAACCTGAGTTTTTTATATGAGATATTTCTGAACCAGCAGGAACAATAATTTTATAAATATGTGAAAACAAAAATCAATTTACCTTTCTGAAGAAAAAACATTTAAATGATGTTCATAGCTTCATCTGAAAGAATACATACTGTATATGTTGTAAATACATTTTACTCACCAATCAGGTGAGAGGTCGGCCAAAACAAGTTCTTCTTCGATTTGAAGCTGTTCCCTCTGTCGCTGCAGACGTTGCCATCTTTGATACCTGCAACAAGAGACACACTGATGATGTTTCTTTATTACAAATGAAATATGAAGAGCAAAGCAGACACTGAGCAACACATTAAACACTGTGTTGTTTCTTTATTCCATGAATGACACAAAGGATCAAAGTAGAGAGGAGGTGTTGATGTTTCAGTCAAACATTTCACTTGAAAACTCAACATCACTTCAACTGTGGTACAACACTGCCTCTCTTCTCTGATGTTTACATTACTTGCTGCTATTTATCATACCAAGCCACTTTAATTACTTGTCACTTTATCTTGTCATTCCCTGCAAATACTGTCTCAATTCTTAATTCCCCCAGTTAACTTCATCATTCATTTTGTACTGTATATACCCCCTGTTTTTATTTTTATTTATCTTACATCACATTACATCACATTCTGTTAATTATTTGTTGTAAGCTGCTGCATTTGTTTTATTGTGATGAACTGCTGTTTGTCTATGTATGTAATGCTATGCTAGTTTACCTTCAGTCAACGGCTTTCACAATCAGAAAGACCAGTGTACCTGCTGTTGAATCAAAGTCCGGCCACTGGCTTTCTGGTGTTTAAGTAACAGTTACTGAACTCAGCTCAGAGAGCTCAAACTAAGCCACACGGCTTCTTTTGTCTTTGTCCACCATTTTGTACCTACGTGACGTAGCTCCACATGGTGCTCTCATCTGCCCTCTATCTCTCCACACACACACACACACACACACACACACACACACACACACACACACACACTACGTGGTTTGTTTGTAGATATTTTGTTTGCTGTAACTTAGTTTATAATAGTTATTTGTTTGACTGAGTTTCATTGATTGCAGTTGATGTTGCTTTGTTCAAATAAATTCTGTTTTATTTAAGATCAGTTGTTTGTGATTACTGGTGTATTTGCATTGTGATACAACTGGTTGCGAGGGCTTTATGTACAGATTTCACGTCTGCAATTTATTAAATACAGGTTGTTAATTATTGATAATATTAGTATTTAATTCATTCATTTGAGACTGATTTTATGATATTTGGTTCATGTTCTCTGATCCCACAGTGGTGCTCCTGTTTTTTAACTCTAGTTAATAATATTGTTGTTTTACAGTATATTAATAATGAATTAAGGGTAATTATTTATATTAATTTAATAACCAAATGTTACTATATACTAAAACCCAACTTAAATGTTGCCTGTGTATTAGCTCTGCAAAACCCCAACAATACTTTGTGCAGTAATTTCAGACCTCTGTCAATTTTGAACTCAGAACTTCAATTATGTGCTCGTATTTTAACTAACTGCATGGAATCATATATGATTAAAGCCCTATTCACACGGGACTAGTATTACCTGGGGACCTCATGTGATTTAGAAATGACATCACCTCGTCTGTGTTTCGTGCGGCACATTCACACGGGATAAGTTAAGTCTGTTTTTGAACTCGAATATACTGATATTATCCCCCAGATATGATGTCATGTGTTAACCTTTCCTGCTTCGGCGTTCCGACCGTGGTCGGAGCACACGGCGGAGACTTATTGGTCTGCTTCAGAGCCAAAGTTGTAGCCCTAAACTTCGAGCTGACCCCCGTCACTTTAACTGGGGTGCAGCAAGTTGTAAACAGACACGGAGAGTCCGGCTTGTTCTCTTTCCTCACTCGCACTGAGCCATTCACAGACAGACATACACTACTCGTATAACACAAGGCTCTGAGTAATATATGCGTAAAATATAGAAAAATGTTCCATCTTATCATCTTTGGAGATTTCTCTCTCCTGATGGATTTGAGCTTGCTCTTTCTGCGATTGGGTCTCCATGCTGTGTAGCTAGATGAGCCTCCTGAATTTGCACCCAAAATGCTGTCAGATCTTTCATTTAGAATTGGCAATGCAGCCTCCATAATTCTCCACCGGGAAAAAGGCAGAAAAAAGTCAGGGAGAAGACAAACAACCTTAAAAAAATAAATTAAAAAAACTACCCCAAATTACGAGATGCCGATTTGCACGGGACTAATATTATCACATGACCTCTGTGTTTGGCGACATACGGTAGGTAATTTGCGGTGGAATTTTTACTTCACAAATAACAGACATGGCAGATTCACACGGGATTAAGATCACAGAAGACCTCCACATTTATTACAAATTACAACATCTCTAATAGATTTCCCATTTCACGTTCATGCTGCCAAGGCTGCCCTTTAAGCCCTCTTTTATTTGCACTGTTGCTAGAACCTCTTGCCCAGAAAATCAGACAACATCCTTACATCTCCCCTATAGTTTTCCACAATAGCAGTCGATGATATACTACAATATGTAGATAAAACACCTACCTCCATTCCTTACATTCTTGAAACCTTTAATGAATTTGGAACCCATTCCAGCTACAAAAAAAACTGGTCCAAATCGGCTTTATTACCATTAAATTCCTACTTAGACCCATCTTCCTTACCAGCACTAGTTCCTATGGTCAAACAATTTAAATATCTGGGAGAGGTCATTTCTCCTTCTCTTAATAGCATTATGACAAACAACTATTGGAATAATTATAAATGTATAACTGTCGATCTAGATAGATGGGTCAAATTCCCCATTTCTCTTCAGGCTCACGTCTCCATAGTAAAAATGGACATCCTACCACGGGTAAACTTCTTTTCCTCCATGTTGCCATTACCACCACTACTGGACATACTAGGACAAGATTCAGTCACTTGTGACTAAATTCATTTGGGGAGGGAAGCGACCCTGTGTTAAGTTATCCACACTGCGACGTCATAAATCATCAGGAGGTCTCTCCGTCCCAAATTTTAAATACTATTCCTGGTCATTTGTCCTAAGGCCTATCTCATCCTGGTTTAACCCTGATGCTGTGGTGTCATGGAAACCTATAGAGGAATACATAGCCCATCCTCATAGATTAAAGGATTTAGTTTACTCTGCCATACCACTAAAACATGCCAAACTCCATCTTAGTCCTATCAATATGCGCAAAACAGAAAGAGAATCGAAAACAAGTCAGAAGTGGCACACAGCCCTATATTTCATAATAATTCCCTTCTAACTGGGTCTGTTCCATTTGCATCTCCAGTGTGGGAGAGCATCCATACAAGTGTGTACATCCATGTACATCCAGCAAGTGTGGTCTAGGGAACTGGAGGTAGCTTTGGAGGATGATAGTTAGAAAAAGATATGGGGAACTATCGTTGACTCTTCCAAAAACCCAAACCTCCAACTAATACACCTTAACTTCATTCACAGAACCTATCTTACACCCAGGAAACGTTACCTTATGAAACTGTCTTCTTTATCAATTGTGATCTCTGCCAGATACTCAGGTTGGCTCATTTATGCACATGTTTTGGGAATGCATGTAGCAAAATTTTGGAGACAAGTTGCCTTATTTTATCTAGAATCTTAAATTGTGATATACCTTTGCACTCACACAAGACTACCCTACAACTTGCATACTCACAAAAACGCATAATGTTAGCTGGACTTACTGCCGCAAGAAAGATGTTGGCTCTCCGCTGGCAACTTTCACATGTTCTCTCAATATCACAGTGGATTAATACTTATCTTGAGGTAGTTAACATGGAACTTTCTGTAGCCAAAATCCATGGTGCCAATAGAAACACCATATCATCTTGGACGTTGATTTTAACTATAATTGAAGCATTATTAACTACCAATAAGTAAAAGAACTGTGTATTATTGAGAAACAAGTGAATGTTAATGTGATGAATTGCCCTTTAATACTTGGTGTTTTCTACATTTCCCAAAAGACTTAATACACCTCAATTCATAAACTGTTACCTCTGTTGACATATGTGGATTTTATTTTGAATGTGTAGAGAAATGTGTTTTGAGTGTATGAACATGTATGTACGAATACATGCATCCATATACAGATGCAATTACATCACATATGCAATATGTAAAATAATGTAGTCAGGGGAGTGCGACTTTCTAACTAAGTTAGTTGAATTGTAGAATATTTTCCAGAACTTGTGTTTATAGTTGGAGATCTTGCGGGGGAGGGGGAGGGGGGGTTTGGTCGCCACGGGAAACAGGGAGTAGGGAGGGATTGACAATCTGCAGCTATAAATAAAACTGATTATAGAAATGCAGATTAGGATTTACCTATTAATGATATGTTTGATAAATTCATAATGTTGATTCCTCAGATATGTGATATATAAATGTATATGTTGCCTGAACATGAAAATCAATAAAAAAAAATGATCAAAAACCTGTTCTAAAAATAATAAAGACAGATGAAAGTTTTCAGAGTGCAAACATGATCGACTCAACATGAGATTGTATTTGTTTTTTCAACACGCAGCAAAACAGACTCAGTGTGTGTGTGTGTGTGTGTGTGTACAAACATGACTGTCAGGATTCATTGTTGAAAACACTTACAGGGCTGGGTCGCATTTTTCTAATTTTTTGAAATTAATTATTTGTCCTTTTGACCGATCACTGTGGAGAGATGGAACAGATGGACGTGTCGATTGGTCGTCATCACTGAGAAAGCTGAAAAAGAGAGAAAGATTAGATAGTTAGATATCAAACCACAACAACAGATGAAAAACTTCAAGATTAGTCCAGTCAGACTTGATCTGGTTCACTCTGAATGATTAACCCAGCTTCTCATATGGAAATCAAACCTGAATTTTTATATGAGATATTTCTGGACCAGCAGGAACAATAATTTTATAAATATGTGAAAACAAAAATCAATTTACCTTTCTGAAGAAAAAACATTTAAATGATGTTCATAGCTTCATCTGAAAGAATACATACTGTATATGTTGTAAATACATTT